CGGATTGTGAATATTTTAGAAATTTGCCCCTAGATACTATATATAATAAAAAGATTTTTGTTTAGAAACAGTAGTCCGTCCTCGCACGGTTAGTAAACGCAGTTTGTATTTCTGCCACAAAGTATTCTGTTTTGTACCTTCGTATATGTTGTTTTTTGCCGGCGCCTCTGGGAAGATCCTACGAACTGGAGTAGCAATAGTGTGACTGGATTAATTCATGATGAGAAATTTACTAGCAGTTCAACAGATGAATGGTCTGTGGGCTGACTGGAATTTCGGAACAAAGACTATCAATTTTGCTAATTAGTTGCTGCTTATCTCGCATATACATTGAAGTCCAACTTTAGTATAGGTTGCCCATCGTTGGTTAGACCATGTTCGATGATGAGGGCTAAGTGGAACCGGTTTTAACACTTTCTCAGAGGAAGCGTTTTACCCGTAGAGCTATTGAACGTAGGCTGTTTTTTTAGTGCTACACACAAAGATTTATCGACCGTGGGGTGGTAAAGACATTGTGCAAAATGAAAGCGTACTTTGCGAGTTGTAGGGAGTCCAAGGGCTCTCGAGCAGACAGACTGAAGAAAACAAGTGAGATAGTCTTCCGTGATCTACATGTACATGTCATGTAACAGCCACAAAACAATATTTCATTTGCTAAAAATTTCATGATTACATAATTGTCATTATTATTGGCGCAAGAAGTAACATTACTGCAAATTACAGTGATGTTTCTTGTTATCATTAAGTTGTAAGCATTTTGGTTAGCTGTTACAGTAATAATGTAGTGTCATCTTTGATTTGTCAATACCAGTTTTACGAGTTTGAAATTCCGTTGAGTGAAATTATTTCCTTAATTTTCTCAATTGTACGCATGACTTTGGTGTGGATATGCATGTTTTTTACCCTAACCAAGGCCACAAAATGAAATACAGACGTAAGGATTACCCAACTTACTAAAAATTACATAATATCAGACCTGATTTAACTGCAAGAATTTGTCCTTCACACTGTACGTTACCAACTTAGCCATAATTAACAACAAACAATTTCATTAAATTGTAGTAGAAAGACGAAATCTACCTTTACTTGTCCTCCCTCGTTGCTATCCGGCAATCACTTCAACGAGCTCGTTAACAAAAATCCACGAAGCAGGATGACGTGTACACATCTAGATACACCTCCCAGGCAAGGCTCTACTGATTGATATGCAGATAGCGTTTGTCAATATCGGAAGGCATAAAGGCCCATACTTATCAGCCCATACAGTTGTCATAACATATTCTGAAGAGATAATTATGTGAAGAGTCATGCCTGTAAGCGATTTGCTTTGAAGGATTTTTTGACAGTAATTGCTGGGTGACTACATGGAATAGCTTGATAGTTTGCTAGCTTAAAGTTCTGACGTAGATACTTGATGTAAATGCAGTTCCTGTTTTAAAAATAATGACAGTCAAGAGTTTTATTTCGCATGCTTAAAAGAGGGAGATGTTGTAAGCATTTTTAAATGTTATGCCACTAATTTCACTCGATCTGTCTTCCAGCGTTTTTTAACAGCTTGTCTCCAGCAACCGCCACATCAATTTTGATGGGGAGCAATATCACAAAATTAATAATGTTCCTTTATTCTCTAGAGCGCAGGTGCGGTGGAGCTATGGATGAAAAATAGAAAAGTTCAGATCACCACCAAGCTTTGCCCTTGTACCTTCAGCTTTTTGTTATTTTGAGGTGAAGTTAAAACATTTTGTAGAGAGGAAAATATCTTGGATAGTTTCCAAACTTCGTATTTTACCATCTTGATGCGAAAAAAGAACGAATAAGGTGCCAATGTCAGGTTATCTATATCTATACCTATATTTTCTATTGATTTTTGACTTGCAGGTTACTTGAAGGTTGCCGGAATGGTCAAAACAGTAGGAAGCGTTTATTAACTATCTGTGGCTTTAATTACCGGCCAGGAAAAAATGGTAATAGACAATACAATAATATTCTTAAAATACTCCTCAACCATTGCTATATTTTTTTATGCTTAACGTGTAGCACTGTAAAATGACTAGCAGATTCAAATACGTAGACGTCAAACATACGGGAATTTTAAACATTATAGAGAAAATACTCTAAATGTCGTCAATGGCTTCCTCAAATTGGGAAATAAAGCTCCTCATTTTATTTGCTTTAACTACGCACTGAATTTAATGTTCAAAAGCATCAGAAATTAATCCAACAACAGGATCAGAAGTAAAAAATGGCGTTCTAGAGTATGTTGAACTTTCCTAATTTCACTCCATCTTGGCCGACTCTGATAAGATAGTAGTAACCTTGTATCATGAGTATGCTAAACAATATACATACACTATGCTGAATACAAAAATATTCGCAATACTGCCTATTGATGTACTAAAAATAAATATCGGCTCATGTTAGTAGGACAGACATATTTGCAATACAATAATAATAACAAGCACATCATCACATGTCCCGGTCTGAGTTTCGTGTTCAGAAAGGCACTTCAATAGGTTCCTTCAATTTCACTTTCCAAATATTTAAAATGCAGAGTTCACAAGCGCATCTGAAATATGTCTCTAAGCTTATTAAACCGCTTGTTAAAATAACGACATCAACCTGAAAACGTTTAATTATTGCATTGGTATGCTATGCTATTGGATAATTATGCACAGAATTAGCATATGAGCACTGTGAACTACCATAGTTCGCGTTCATAGTGGCACCAATTAAGTTGCGTACCTAGGAGGCAATTGCAGAGCGTCTTTCACCTCGCTTATGTTAATGTACCCCCATATTTTCTTCACAGTGACTCAAATATAGTATAATTAATACTAGTCACATTTTGTTATGGTAATAACATGTTCACTACTAATTTTGCTGAGAAATTATAATGTGACGCTACAAAAATGAGCACCGAAGTGTGTAAAAATAATGTAGACGGTTATTAATAGTTTCTGCCACTTTATGTTACTTGTATCCTTATTCACATACTATACATATGAACACTCAACGTCTGTAAGAAGCATGGGAACTTATAATATTTTCACATTAGGTGTTAAGGTTCCTCCTTCGGGCTGCCACCATACGTAATTTTATGCCACATTAGCAACGGAATAGGTTTTTCTTGGGAGAAAATTATAGTGAGCCACAAAAATTATACATATTCTACTACTTACATAAATGTACTATAAATATGAAGTGTAAAAGAACAGGATTGGATAACATTACATTTCAGAGACAATTTATGATACGATATTGATTAGACCAACTAACCGGAAAATGCACCTTCTAACCATCCCAGATTGTCCTAAGAGGCAACGACCGAATCTACTAATCACTTCTAGTAATATCTACTGCGATATGCCATTGTTTTGGAAATGCCTATTGATCTCTTAGGGGGGTTCTGTATGGCATAAAGCGCAACTTGGGTAAACAAGGCGAGGTTATGCAACAAGTCAAAATCAAGATCGCTAGCAACAACCACAAGAATTCTGAATTAAATTTTATTTTGTATTAGTAATTGTTAACTTCTGGAGTTCTGATTACAAATCATTGGATCATATTTTAAACAGTGAGGAGGCACAGTTATACCACAGCATAGAACACACTCAACAGCCTCTCAGGCATCCCGTATAAAATTAGTCCTTAGGAAATTTGACCTTGTTGGGGCCATTGTGGATTAGAAATCACGGGCGGATTCAGAATAATTGCTATGCTGAACATAGTTCCGTAATACACATGTATACGAGTGGTATGTTTTTTACTCGTCAAAACTGCCCTACATAGAAAACATTTTTTCTTCCACCGCGTCAAACAGACAGCAACCGTGCTTCAACTGGTTTACTGGGCCTGTCAAGGGCACGTTTAGAGGAGGAAGAAGCCGCATGCTCCCCCCAAAACGCCTCATTTACAACAAACATTATAAAAATATATAAAATTGATGATGCAGCTATATAATAATCTTATTTTTAGTAATGTGTTTTAAATTCCTACTTACTGTAGAATAATAAATTCTTATGTAGATAATGTTACTACAAAACAATTTTTGGTGAACACGATATATTTTGCTACGTGTTTCCTATGCTGTGGTAACCAAAGTCGTGTATGGAACTAATTTCAGCCATAAAAATTCAGTATTGAATTCTCTTTGTTGATGTTCGCCCTAAAATTATCATGGAAACGGAGGTTGTCAGGTCTACACAATATTAGGAACTTACCTATTGCACTCCATTCCTACTGCACAGTTACATAGCTTTTAAAAAAATGATACGAAATATAAACAGTCTGTGCCACCTAAATTTAATGGACACCTGGGTATTTTAAAATATAGACTTGAGGTGTTTTGTCGAATCTACATCTACAAATGGGTTGGAAAAATTAATATATTACCAGACCAGGAAATGAAATAGAGAAGCAATAGCATAGTTTTCACAGCCATGCTACACTGCTACCTTTTTTGGCATTTCACATAATCTCAACTAGGTGAGCATTCCAAGAAGAAGTGCGATACTAACGCCCTAAGCCTTCGGTGCCGTTTAGCTATCCTAACAAATAAAATTCGTCCGCCTCTTATGTTAGATGTTTGAATTTTTCTGAATAGGACACATCCAGGACGGGATCGCATAGGTTTCAGCTTGAAACAATAACATGTTTGTGTTTGTTTGACGGTTTAGTAACAACGCATGATTGTCTTCTGTTATCATGTTCGTTGGTAGAAACAATAAAGTGTCTGCAACATGCATTCGAGAAGTAACTGCCTTTAAATTGTTTTGTCCTTTAAGAGATATAGCAAGGTTTACCGGATACAACGTGAACAGAATGTTGAAAAAATGTCTTTATAAACATAAGTCAGATATGAAGCATTCTGCCCTACAATGTTTCTTAATTAATCACGTAACTGGAGCTAGAATCCAAGAATCCCATTTCAACGTCTTAAAATAGCATTACTGAACATTGCCACCAAGCCAGTCAACACTTTAAACAACCTTTAATCGCAGAATGTTCGCGGTGACCAGATGCGGCAGGTGCCATGCAGGGATTGCTGCCAATGAGTTAGTGATGAGGGCAAGGGACCTCGTCTACCATCTACACTGTTTCTCATGTACAGCTTGCGGAATACCGCTGTCTAAAGGCGACCACTTTGGCATGAGGGAAGGCCTGATATATTGTAGGTAAGTTGCATAAAATAACAGACTTGGAATGGAGACATAAACAGCTATTCAAAGGGAATTATCTGGCAGCACAATTCCGAAGAAATGGTTTCTCGAGAAAGATATCTTTTTGAGATGCGATTCATAAAATCACAAAGAAAATCAGTACGTGTCATTTGTATTAGGTATCGCCTGGCTACAGCTTACTATTTATCGTGGTAAAACGTAATATAAATAATACCTAAGTAGAACTTACCGTCAAACCGGTCGCTCATTATATAATAACTTTAATGTGCACAGTATTTCAACTGAGCTTACCACAATTCGTCAAACTGTGAAACAAATGAAAATTGAATTTATTTGATCAAGTACCCCTACAGTAAGGAAAATATGAACATTATGTACATTGGAGATCAAGCGAGTATTACTGCTACAAGAGTAAGCATGTAGGTAAATCGCTTGCAAAAACTTGAACTCACTAAAATGACATGTGTACTGGCCTCAAGGGCTACGTTCGTAAATTGTTACAGGGTGTAATTATTCTGGAACGTCAAAAGTACACTTTTCTTCCCGCACCCAACAACTTAATAAGAGTGTTTCCACTTGTCATTCTGATGGTTCATTGTTTGTGTACTTCATTTGGTTAAAACCTTTTCGTCACCGCGTTGCCTGACAACTCTGACGCGGCAATCTGCCGCGTTCCCAATATATAACGCCAGTTCCTTGAATTAAGATGCATGTTGAAAATTTACGTTAGTTCAAATAATGGTTTTATTTTGAGCGTACACATTTTTGAATTGTGTCGAATCTGTATAGGATCGATCCTAATGTCGCTTCACTTTAAGTCGAAATTCAAGGTCAGGATCGTCTCAAATTCTGCAACGTTACATCATTGGTTCGCTTGGCAACACCGCATCTCCTACATTTCAAGACAAGATTTCCACCTCCTTGATCAGAAATGTGCGATTTTGATCAGTACCCATCTAGCGCTCATTGGGGAGTGTCGTCCTGCTTCGAAATGGTTTTTGTTTTGCATAATGGTATTTGATACATTTTCCGACCGCTCGCTGTCGCAAAATTTAACAATAACGAAAAATGTGTTAATGTTCACCAACCGTGGAAATCAAATCATTCTAAAATAAATTAGAACACTATTCCTATCAAAATTGAATTAAATAAATCTAGTCAAGATGAAAACAAAACATTAAATAAAATGTTCGATCAGACCTTCTTGGATTTGGCAGTAGCCTAACCTATTGTACGTATAGAAGCCTGTGCGAACATTTAGGTTTAACGCTTGCGTTTCCCAGCGTATCTGATAGAAAGCGTCATCATGCTGATCAGGAAGGTACCGTCAACAACGGCAGACGATCTGATGTACTGATGACCACTGCTGGTCTCTATACTACTCAAAATAAAGCCATTTTCAGTCATCAAAATATGCTTAGCTAGGTGCTGAGCTGAGGAAAATTTCAAAAAATATGGAAAAACCAGATTCTAGAAATGACTCCATAAAGAAATGTAGCCGGGTGCACCCAAAAACTGTCTGAAATATTTTTATTTTTTCGCCAAAAGGCAAATTCTACCCGCACTGAACCGATTTTCAAAACTGAATTTAACCAATTATAGAAATTTTGTTTTCTCTAAGTTATCGGCAGCATATTATTTTTTTATATGCTTCCACCCTATTTGTCATGCTTAAATAGTTCCAAATATAATCAGGCCATTACTTTTCTGTGCGTACGACTGGAAGGTTTTAATAGCAGCAATTTTCGTATAATTGGTGGTCTATATTTAATGAACAATTATAATCTAACAATACAGAAAGTGTGAGGAAATGTGCTGTTTACTTGCAAACCTCGCTTTATTTGTGAGTCATTATGTTAGCAAAAGTAATTATAGGTACATAATTGGAGGAATCAGGCTGTACATCTATCGTAATCGATCATCAAGTACCCATGTGACTTGCAGACTTTTATAACTTAGGCACAGAATCGCTAGCTTAGAGTGTAAAAACTAGCACAAGCGAAATAATTGATTCTAATAGATACTGTCCAAATCACTTACATCAAATGTTCCAAAGAGCCATTCAGCTTTGCTATGAAATGTGATCTTGAAAATTGTTTATCCGAACTTGTCTGAATTATAACTTACAAAAAATGTATTTAAACGCAAATTATCTAAACCCAGAAAGCACGCTCCGATTACACCCTAAACCGATCATTAAGTTCAGAGATATATACAAAAACATGACTAAAGAAGTATTTTGCCTCATAGGTAATAAAAACAAAATGCACGTATGGTTGGGAACTTTTTTGTTTTCTCCTGATAACTCCTCTACCATTTGTACCGATTTTCAGACATTTAGCTACTATAACACTATAGCATTACTGCTCTTCTGTTTTCCACCTAAATAGGTTGGCCTTTTTTGTGATAGCAGTATTACACAACAAAGTTACAGACAGATTGACACAAATCAGCGCTAGGGATTTTTGTGATGTTCAACGTAATTGGAACATCCAAGAAGCTTCTTACCTGAAATTCGAATTTTTCTTGTTAAGAATACAGTACGCTTAGAATGAAATGATAAATCATACTTCCAATTTAAGGATCAGCAAAGCGCAATTGTAAGTACTCACAAACATTAAGCCAATTTTTAAATGGCGTTAGTGTGTCTGTTGATTCCTTTTTATTCCGTAATCTACATAACGGCTGCGCTAATTTTTATGAAATCAGGTCAGCCACCCACTGTAGATGCTCAAATTAAGTAAAAGTAATAGAAACGATTATTCTCCAAAGCCTTGTGCATCTGTTTCACTACAAAGTCATTGGAAAATAAATAGAACTACGCACCGAAACCTGCTTGGAAGATTGGTACTTCAGATCGAACTTAACCTGTGTTTTCAATATCCTCCAGCTTTCTGATAATGTCTGGGTACAGAAAGGGACTTTTTCGTGGGCAGATAATTTCAAATGGATCCAACGATTGTTTCTACCATTCAGGACGTAGTCAGAAAATGGGTTCAACTCCATTGGCTCAGTAATTGCCACGCATCTCAGTTTTTTAAAGCTGCTTCAAACTAATTGGTGGATCACAACATAGCTTTTTCGACTTTGATATAGTAGCAACTTTGTTATAAAATCTAGTCTAAATCTGAGTGATACCTTCGGAGTTCGAGGGGTCAAGGGTTACCGCATTACCGGAGAGACGAAGGACTGAGGAGCATATACACGTACGCACGTACGGAGAAACATATGATGTACGAAATGAGCACTGATAGGTCCGTTAGATCACCGGGGTTTGGAGCGTATTAATATACTAACATAAACGAATTGAGATATAGGTACCATCCTCTACCTCCAAGTCTTAATCCACTACAAAAAAATCCTGAAAATGCAAGGGCCTCTGAAAGCGTGAGATAACGAAGTCTTAGGCCCGTATCGTCAGTCGTCCCTACAATTGTAGGGTGCCTTTATGGCCTCCTTGATTGTCATAGTTTTCTACTTCTCCATCCGTCTATTTGAGGCATCGATCAAATGTCAGTCAGCCTCCCTGAAAGGAAAACAACTCACATGTAGTGGGTGCGTATATGGCTCACAATGTATTGTCCTAGTTTTCTATTTTCCGCCACCACTGGACGGATGTTTTAAAACTACCTACAAAGTTATTTTTCATCCATGACATAGTACTCATAGTAACCTAGTGGGGAAATTTCATCAAAATCGACCGGTAATTCCTTTCCAAGTTATAGACGGGCCAATGATTAGCGGACACACAGATGGACCGACTTTTAAGTATTGCATATGGAAATAAAAAAACACGGTAGGTAATTTTAAATGACTTTATTGTTTTTCGAAGTATTCTCCACGAAGATTAAAACACATCTGCATGCGCTCGAACCAATTTTCGAAGCACTTATTCCACTCGTTTGACGGCAGATCCGAAACGGCATTTTTGAATGCGTCAACTGCTTCTTCTGGTGACCGGAACCTTTGACCATGCAGTCTGTTTTTAATTTTCGGGAAAGTAAAGAAATCGTTAGGACTTAGATCGGGACTATATGGAGGATGGTCCAATAATTCCCCGTTTTCTTCCCTTAAAAACTGCCTTGTATTTTGGGCTGTATGCGAGCTTGCATTGTCTTGGTGGAGGATGATTCTTCTTTCGGGGTTAATTTTTCGAAGCTCGGTGATGACTTTTGGCAAACAAATGGTGGTGTATCAATCCGCAGTATCAGTTCTTTGCTCATTAAGGGAAATTGTTGCAATATGACCCGCTTTTGACACAAATGTCGCGACCATTTTTTTCGAAACACTTCGAGAACGGATTACTTTTGTTGGCTTTTCTTCACCTTGGAACACCCAAACAGCCGACTGTCGTTTATTTTCTGGTTGGTTCACAATAGTAAGCCCACAATTCATCACCACTAACAATGCTGTACATATTTTTTGAGTTTCCGGAATTGAAACGGTCAAGCGTCTTTTGACACCAATTAACCCTGGCTGCTTTCTGCTCTTCAGTCAACAGGTCGGGTATCCAACGAGAAACTAATTTTCTTACTCCTAATTCTTCATGTAAAATTATTTGAATTGAGGTCTTTCAGATCTTCAAGGACGCCTCAATCTCACGATATGTCACATGTCTGTCTTCAATGATGAGTTTGCGCACAGCATCGACGTTTTCCTGGGTGACTGCCGTTTTTGGTGCACCCACCCTGGAACCGTCGCTAAGACTCACCCGTCCACGTTTGAACTCTCCATACCAACGGGAAATTATCGACTGATGTGGCGTTTCGTTGCCGAAAACTCCTGATTCTAGTTTTCTACTACTACTTTAATCCGTATATTTGAATGTAATCAAATCAATATAAATCATTGTCAATTTGAAGCGCGTTGGACGAAATACCGTTAAGACATGAGTTATTGGGTAAGATCTACCCACAGAATTTTTTTTGACGAAGTCTACTATAAGTAACCTTTTTGCAAAGCCTCATGAGAACCCGAGTTGTAGTTTCCAAATTAAAGGAGGAAGGTATCAGCAGATCGACAGACCAACAGATAAGAAGACGGACGGAAATGTGTTGTGGATGTCATTAAAATAAAAAAAACATCACATTTGCGAAAGTTTGTGCTGTTACCGTACTGACATGGCATGGAAAGTAAGCATTGTCGGGGGGCTCAACCATCCTAAAGGTAATGAGTTATACATTTATACCAAAGTCAGAACCGAGAATATCTGTGTAACAAGAATATTTCATTGTTATATATCGTCTGGAAATTTTCTTCATGGGTTCTTGACAATAGGTCTAACAACTTTGTCGCATTTCCATGGCAGCTCATAAAATCCATATGAACTACAATGTGAGTAATTTCGTAGCCTCTGTTACAGGCCTCATTACGAATCGCTCGGCTACTGCGACCCCATCGATCCGATCGACATGATGTACCGTGGAGGGGAGTCCCCTGGATACTATCCGTCCAATACACCCCCTCAAAGCAACAAAGGCAGACCAAGGAAAAGAAAAATCGCACCAGATGAGGGATCGCCGTGCGGAGAAATGCCTGTTACTATGAGGATGGCTGCAGCGACGTTAGGTGAGTTTTGTTGGTTATCGGATTACTAACATGTTCAACTCTTGCCATTGACCTCATGTATTGGTAATTTTGGGTGTGTATTTCTACCTTTGTTTCAACTTTCCAATCTTCTTGATCACCAACTCTTCTTCTATGATTCTCAGAAACAATTTGCGTGTCATCCCATGATTCCAACATGGATATTCCAGGGGAATCCGTCTATCGCCATTTTTATCTGTTGCATATTACAAATCACCGCTTCGCGTATGAAAAGATTCTGCCTGCAACTATGCGATTGATCCAAAGAAAATAGAGTGGTAGTCGCCTGCGCTTTGACGAAATACCTTAAGGATGTACTTGCCTGGAGACGCAGAAATTTTGTGTAGGTTGAAGCTTTTAAGGCACATTTCTTACGAACGCATCTTGTCAACTGCAGTAGCTCCTGGAGTGAAGTTGGGGTATCCCCAAGACAAAAGAAATATTTTTTTAGAATTAAACCTTTTTTATCCGTACGAAACCTAGATAAGACTGGGTTACTGTTCATACCGGGTGTTTCAAATTCGACTCTCACCATTGGGACATCTAAATTGTGAGAGATACGAAGTCATTTGAATGAGAGCAAAGTTGAGCATTTAGGTAAGGAAGAAAATATCACTTTGAACGTTCCACAGTTCAGCATATTTCCCGAAGTAGACGAAAAAACCGATGTTCTCAGAATCGTTTTTATTTTCTCCTGACATAATTAAATTTGAGAGAGGATTCCAGAATAACATGTTCATTAACATTGCTTAGTCTGTTGCATATTGGATTTTGCACAGGTGAGTTAAGTTTCTAATTATAATTTCCAAATCTGTAGTATGTCATACATTGACAGTAAAAAACCCTAATTATTACACAAAATAGAATTTATTAAGTGGGCCTTGAAGTTATCAGATATTCATTTGTTTGATAATATTATCAGCCAAGCATTCGTTAATTTTGTGTAGATAAACAGTCCCTATTCCCGATTTTAATGATTTGATATTCTACATAAATATCATAGCTTGATATTATAAAACATCAAATATCTAAAAAAACAACTCTCCTATAGTTGGTCTTGTCAAATAAAGGTCAGCCTGAGATGACTTTTTCATATTACTTAAGGGTATTTATGAAAATAATTTAATTTTAAGAAACGTTTCAGAGTAAAATAAGCTGGAACAATCTACGATTCGTAATTTAATCGAATAAACATGTGATCACTATGAATGTATTACATATATTATACATACATACATTTTATTATTAAGTTGTGACCCTAAAAAGGACCAATTAAAAAAAAAAGATGTTTGATGCCCACGGTAATGCTATGCATTCCTGAAGCCTCTCATGGGCAGACAAAGCTGCAGCTTCAGTTTCGGCTCTCGGTGTGTTACGGATGGCATTACGAATCCAGTTTTTCATATCTCTTCTGGTTGTATGTTGAGTCTGAGTCACGATGTCCTTTAACCATCCCCATAAATAAAAGTCAAGTCTGGTGATTGCGAAGGCCAGGGAAACAGACTTCCAATCCAGCGATGTTAAAATACTGCATCAATATGCTCTAGGAAAATGTCCTTGGCAACTATCCAACCGCAAAAACAAGTTTTGCCGTGTCTTCAGTGGCATATCTTCCAACACCAACAACGGTAATTGATTGTCCAAAACGTAAAGAAAGACATTGCCATTTACGGACTGCTCGAAAATCTAAGGCCCAATAATTCTGACTACCAGTATGCCACACCACACATTTGAACTCCAATGCCCTTGGTGCTGATCTTCACGCAACCAATGCGGATTTTCTGCAGACCAATAATGCATATTGTGCAGATTGACTCTCCCGCCACTACTAAAGGTAGCTCCATTGGTCCAAAGAATTTGAAATAAAAATTTTCAAGTTCCACGTATGTTGCTTAACATCCCATGGCAATTGATTAAACAAGATGGGCGATCCACAGTGGTCGATTCTGGCAATCCAATGGCAATACTCCAACCTCCGATGACAGTCTTCCTCTTTCAAGGCTTGATGGAGAACGACATGATATGGGTGCACTATATAAGTAATTAAAAAAAAGTTAAATTTAAATAAATCCCCATATTTTGATGACCATTAGAACTTACCTACTGCCCTTAAACATATTTTGAGCCTTTTTGTGTTCTTCCAATTATTTGCCGTTATGACATAGGACGGAAAGTACCATTGGCTTGTAAGCTCGTCACTAATCGGGGAAAAACTCTCACATCGCAAACACGCCGATTTGAATATCGAGTGGCGTAAACCCTTTTTGCTACTGCGGCATTTTGAAGACATTCAAAATAGATTGCAAGCATATCAACGGCTTCATGTTTCGCATTTGTTAAGCATAAAAATTGCTCAAAGTAACGCGAAGCTATTGACAACTGCTATTGGCAATTTGAGGATTATCTGTGTTCTGATTAGGTATTTGTTTTGTTGTATTCCATGGCCTGCTTCTATTAATTGACTTATTCGTATATACCCATAGTGACTATGTATTTAAACAAAAAATATGCCTTTTCGCGATGTTTGGTGATATTTTCAAAGGGGGTGATTTTATTCTAATGAATAACAAAGGATTTCAGAAAAATTAGTTTAAAAAATAAAAATTTAAGGAATTTCCGTATAAAACCTTTTTTGGCCTAAATTTTAGGTTAGGACAAGATATCGAGATGCGGTTTTCGAGAGCTTGTTTGGACATCATTTAGCTACTGTTTCGTCAAAATCATACCAATACATTTGATTTTTATGAGAAAATCAACCACTTCTGTCGGAATGTCGAAGAAAGTCCGCGACATATGAGACTAACAAAACATCAAATAATATAGCATTTGTAGCCCAAGAGAAGCTCACGTTTGTTAAAATCGGCTCAGCCGTTTCGAAGATACAGGGTGTTTTTACGGAATACCCTCCACCACTGTATTTTTAGAGATACAGCGAAATTTGGCAAACAGAAAAGTTCATATTATCTTCGACTGTAAACAGCAGACATTTTTTTGATGGGTTAATATAGCGACATTCAAAGAAAAATCACTTTTTTATCTTCAAGCAGGTACGCCTCTAGCGGCCATTTCAGAAACTTAAAAATGTTTTCCAGGTTGGCATTTGAGTAAGACCTTTTTTTGTCGCAAGCCTCTACGATGGATAGTTATAACATTTGTGAATTCCGTTCGTATCTGAATATTGGAAAATTAAAATTAAAAACATTTTTGTAACACAGTTAACCTACTTGATGTTTGAAACTGTTTGTGTAGTCCAGTAATTAAGCAATAGGTTAGTCGGTAAGGTAGTAGATTAACTCTCAGCTAAGCTTCAGGTAGATTACGCAATTCGTTGTTCTAGACCAGACAAGCTCTATGCATAGAGAAATAGCCATTATGACCACTTCTCTGTTCCAAGGATATCGAGAATGTGGAAGCAATCTACCAAAAGAGGCTTTCCTGAGATTTGGTGAATCTAGTTGGTTAATCGGGCTGGCACGATTCTTTACTGGTCTTAGCCTGTGGAAAGCTCATCATGCGAGCTCTCTTCCCCTTATATTGGTTAGCCTAAAGTAAAAAGGTCGAATATTATACAATAGTATGTAAGTAGATAGTGAACGAACAAAGCATCACGCCGGTACCTAGATACACACTTCAGTACTCAATGTTGGTCTGTTGAATAAATTATTTTCTTCTGTTTATTTATTTCGTGTTTTACTGATACGTAACCGCCAAAATCCTATCCTATACAATAAATTTTAATATCAAGTTAATTTTCGCCCTCAAAACATTTTGAATTTCGCCCTAAAATATGGCGTCAAGTGGGTTGACTCTGCAGTCATCAGTTCATAGAAGATTATATTTGGCACAAATCAACCCCTATAATAAAAGAATTAAATAGGTAAAGTCAATCAAACAGGCCCACACACACAACGCTGCGATCAGATCAGTGCTTTATCTCCTCCTACTTTCGTCATGCTCGATGCGAGTATCGAAAGTATTTTCTTATTTTATTATTCTTAAGCCTTAAGATCAAATATAGATGAAAATCGATTTAGTAAATATGTCGAATAGGTGCGTATAATTACTGAGGCTAGAAGTGTATAAAGACATTAACACAAAAAAATCACTCTCTGCAACCTCCTCCCCAATTTTCATCCCGTATAAAGAATTTCGGGCAGTGCTTTCCAAGTTATAGAATGGTTGAAGAAAGAGAAAGATAGACCAACAGAAGCAAATGACTTGCTTTTTCTTGGTATTTCATACAACATTCGAAAAAGATCTCAATTTGTCGTGATTGCAAATAATTCCTCGCCAATTGACGTGGGGGTAGAAAAGGTGCCAATATAGCCCAAATGTTAGTACAGTATTTTTTTAAATTTGTTGTCTTATCAGTAAAAAAAATTGAGATGAATAAGCTTTTATTGCTTGTTGCAAGGAAGACCGTAACCAGAGGACTGTATCTATCATTTTTTATGCACTCTCACAGTTCAACAACCGCCACAGGTTTTATTACATTACCTCGTTATTTTCCTTGTTTTTGGAACATTAATTCATGGCTTCTTGGGCAATATTTAGTCAGTTTACGTCAGAGCTGCTCCAGATGTTCTAATCAGATACCACCATTTCTTAAACATTCATGGAACATTTTACATAAAATTAGGTAGTGGACTTGCATGATGGGTTTCCGAAACAGGTTCAACCTTGTTTTAATTGTTGCCCCCATTATTTTTATAATTCATGGGAGCAGCGAGGTGGAAAGCACCGTGAAATTAAAAATGAACACATCTGATGGATATTACAAATATGTATTTGACGCTTAATCAGCAAAACCAATTTTAATCATTAGTGTTACCCTGCTATGAGACTTTAGGAACCAAATTAAATCACAAACTTCAATAGTAGATGCTACATCATCCTTCATGGTAACATTAGCTTTCTGTTCAGCTGCCAAAATAAAGTTCAGTAGATACAGCACTTCTAAAAGTCACAAAATTTGTTACCTA